CTGATACACCCTCTCACATGCTGAGATCTAACCTGCATAACTGCCATATTGCAGAGATCCAAAAGTATAAAGCTACAACAGAATGTACTGCATCCTAGTGATGGGTGTGCTCAGTTGTGTGTGAGAGGACATGCTTTGCACCACAGCTAGTATTTAAGAAATGACAAGACAAAGTGTACAAGCAGTGGGATAAGTGAGAACTGGAACCAGATCCTCACTCACAGGGAGGGCCCTGACCTCTAACTGCAGTTAGATGTTCCCTTGGTCTCTCTAGCCTGCTTCATCTGGAACTGCATGGTGATGTATGCTCAGTGGAGGGCTGAAGAGTAGTCTACCCAAGCAGTGAATCTCCTTCGGTCTCTTCACAAATACTTCTAAAATGCCTGTAATCTGGTGAAGCAGTGAATGGATCTGAAGGCCCAATATTTCCTCTGCTTCTGTGCTTTGCCTCTTTCAGAACTTTAGTATGCCTCAGGGTATGTGTGATCCTGTAACCAGCATTTCTGTTGGCAAATCATGATCAGGTTTGTCCTCCTTCACCTTCTTCCCAGATGTGCTGATTAACATGGCTTCTCATTTGGCCAGCTCATCATAACCCTTCTGAGATGCCCATGTTTCTCCAGGCACAGGTTAGTGAGCTTGTTGATCACTAGTTCTGCAGAGGATTTGTCTCTTTCTAGCCATCAGGAAGTAGCCATCTAGAAGTTAGGTGGTTAATCTAAATTACTAATCTAAGTGTGCTTGATTGCCAACAGAAAAAGAGGGAGTGGTTCCAAGGGCAGTTTTTCCAAGATGTCTTGAATCTCTCTTGCATCTCTCTCCCTTCATTAAGAAGGAACTTAGAATAGATGCTGATGCTCAGATGGCTCCACTTCAGTGAGATGACTAATAGCTTGTCTCTTAGAAAGTCTTCCCAAATATGACAACTGGTTTCCCAAGTAAGTAAAACAGAGTACAAATCGACATCATTGTCTAAAATTAAGGAATTTTAACAGTAAGTAAGGCATTTGTTCCACTAATTGTAATGGAATTAGGGGTTTATATGTGATTTATACAGAAAAGCATGGTAGAATGAATGGTAATATTTTTTATATCCTATTCACCTCAGACTGTTTTATAAGAAACATTGTTTATTCTTCAGTGTTGCTATGGTGAATGGTTTAAAAAATATAAGATCAGAGCAATCAGTATAATGCTGAATTTATTTGTTTGTTTCTCAATCAGCTAGGATTTATACATATATGTTGGAGAAGTCTCGTGTCATTATGCAGCCTCTCAACCAGAGTAATTTTCATGTTTTTTACTTGATGATGGATGGGCTGTCTGCTGAAGAAAAATACACCCTGTACCTCAGTAATTTATCTGCACACAGGTAGGAAAACAACCTTATATTGAGTATTAATATTTTTCTTATTTTAGTGCCTCTTTGCTGTTGAGATCTCTCCTCTAATACTTACCATTTGTGTTGTAACTTTTCAATGAGCTCTGAAATTATTTATTATTGAGTACCTGTTAGTGAAGATTTAATTCTAGAGTACATGTGCACCCTCCTAACAAGACCAGAGTCTTCCATCTATTAGGATTATTGCCTTAAAGGAGAAAAAGGAAGGAAATGTCTTACTTATTTTTCCATCTTCTGTGGTAGGTCTGGTTTTTTTTGATTATTTTTTTTTTTCTTTTGCCACTGATGAACTTTTTGTCTTCAGGAAAAACTGTTTTATTAGAATTAAACTTTTCTTATGTAATATGTTGATTTTTATGAAATTTCACCATATGTAACTGATATTTCTGTTTTCATTTTGAGATTTACTTTGTCTCATATTTATTAAGAAAAACAGAAACAAAGTTTTGACTACTTTGAAACCAAGGATAGGATTTGCCACCCAACACCTAAAATTAGGTCTTTGTGTGCATCTCCACATCAGCTGGTTTTCTTGTCTCTCAAGACTCAAAAGGGGATTGAGTTTCCCCTCCACTCAAAGGGGATTGAGTCTCTACTCAGCTTTTTACTCTATTTAGAGTTGTATGTAGATGTGTGCTTCAAGGTGAACTTAAGCACATTAGTGGCATGAACTGTAATGACTACATTCCCTTTAATAGTAAGAGCTTAACTATAAGGAGCTGTGTATAGACACCTAAATGTAGTGTGTCTGAGGCTGAATACACTCCAAAAGTTTAATATAAGTTGAAGTTTTTGGTTTTTCAGGAAATTTTGTAGGTATCTCAAAATTTATTAGTTCAAATTCTTTTTTAAAGAAAACGTATTGCCTTTCTTTCTTCAGTCTTTCCTAAGTGATTCCTAAGAAATATCACTGAAATGAGAGGAGCCTATGTGGCACTAATGATCTTCTCTTAAATTGGCTAAGTTTATAATGAGTACAGTGAGTAACAGTAAAAAGACCAATAGTAGTGAAAATTATGCAAAATGAGTGTTTTGAGTTTTTCCTATCTAAGCCTTTTTCCTATGGATTTTTCTTGCAACTTTTCTATCTTTGGTTCTGACTAGTACTTGAATAAAATAGTATTCCTTGATTAGGGGCCTGTAAATAGAAAGATACCAAATTAATTTTTGCAGAAAAAACTTGATTCTGATTTTTTTCTTAAACACAAGTTTTCATACTACTATTGTTTCATGTTTTAAGCTGTTAGCACTTCTGGTAGTATATAGAATAGTGTAATGCACTAGCTCTGAAGAAACCTGAAGCTAAGTTACTTTACTGAAAATAATCCACTTCAAAGCAGGGGAGAGGAAGAGTTAAATTCTATGCTTTAAATTCTTTGAAGGCTTTGAAGACCGAAAGGATTCTGAGCTCCTGATCAGTACTTTATTCCTCTTCTAGCAAAAGTTGTTTGGAATCACTCAGTTTATTCAGAAAATTAAACAGTTTGAAGTCACTTTGCAAGAAGTTCCAACAGGAAAGAACTTAGCAAAAATGTGAATAATTAGATTCACATGAACAAAGCTTTATCTGATAAGATATCTGATAAGCATCCAAAAAGAACAAAATAGTATTTTTAAATAGATGTCTGAACATTGCAGTGCCAATTCTTTAGAAGTAATTTATAGCACATGAACATTTGCATAAAGCAGCTTTTATCAAGAAAGCTTTGCTTTGACTGCATAAAGTAGATTGTATCTTACATTACAGAGAGAGAATTTGGTCCAAATATTTCTTACCTTGAACTCCTGAGTGTAGTAGTTCAGTGGGCCAGATCTTTCTTGGTTGATAGAGTTACACTAGGGGTGAATTTCTACAGCATCAAACTCACACGTGAATCAGAAAGCAGGATTTGGCCTCTGTTATAAATTAGTGATTTCTGGCTTACTGAAATTTTGATGAGATCATATCATTCTGGTAACATCAATAACTGAATTTGTCATGTTTGCTTTAAGCAAGTGTAATCTTGACTCTAATAGCAAATTTAATTAGATAACAGCCCTTTTGAAGCTATAGGTGGTTCACGTCCAACTGTTTTTTGATATTTTTCCTGTTCCTTTTTATGTTTTTTTAATATTGGACCTTTATGTAGAAACCTGAACAATCTTAGTAAGTAATGACTGTTAAGATCACAAGATACCCCTATTTTTTGATTGTTTACTTAGGCCATGGCAATATGATAAATGAGACATAGCATTGTTTTTTATTATAATTTTAAATAAAAGTACCTTAAAGAGTCAAAGGAGTATTGTCAATAGTGGTTATTGTTAGACTTGATGCTTTAAAAGGTGAGAGGTAGTTCATGTATTAGGCAGTATATAATCCTGGATTAAGAGTTAATATAAATAACTAAAAGGGGAAATCCCTCCCCTTTGCAGTTACTGAGTTTCAGTAAGGCTGGGGTTTCACCTCAATGTATAGGGGGAGTTGTTAGGTTGTAATTCTGTGGTGTTTGATGCCATCCTGAGAGGGAGCTTGGAGCTCTGAAACTTGAATATATGTTCTTGCAAGCTTTAGGACTGCTAGGGCAGCGTCTGAAGGCAAATAGCTGGCTGCTTTCTCTTGGACCTATATACAACTAGGGCCTTAAAGTAGCAAGCCACCTAAATCTATGTAGGAAGGGATCTGAATGAATGCATCTCCTGCTGTATCTGCATGTGGATCATGATTGATAAAGACTGAAGCAATTCCTGAAAGGTAAGATCATTTTTTCAAGATTTAGCAGGGGGAGCATATGAGAGAGAGTCTTGAAAAGGCAAGTCAAGTTTTTTTGATTGGCAACTACTATTCCCATGTATTCATTAAATTCAAAAGCTGATTTTTATCAGCAGATCCTTGATTGAAATTTCCAAAATTTCTTTTAATTTTGTGTGTTTCAAAAGATCTGCAGAAACTTTGTTTGTCTTGATGATGACATGTAATCCAGAGAAATTAGAGATTTGGAGTTATATTCTCAATTTGCCCTTGATTTACTCTTGATTTTTTTGCTAGCTTCAGATACAGTCCATTACTGTAAGCATTGATTTTCTGGCATGTGAAGTTTAGCCTTATAATAAGAATATGTACTAACTTTTCTAGCATGTTAAATTTAACCTCATTTTTACAGTAGATACTACTTTAGTGATGAATCTTGCAACCAAGGGGAAAGAGAAAGCAAAGATGAGAGGTGTCAATGGCGATAGATCAGCTTGTAAATGGTCTTCAACCCTAGTGAAGAAAGGGTACTAAAAGGAGAGATCAGAAAGACAGGAAAGAAAAATGTGGGAAAAAGTCTTGCAAAAAAAAAAAAAGTGGAAAGATCTGCTTTTATTATTATGGGCCAATTGCTTCATATTAGCATTGATATTCCAAAGCTGTAGTATATGTAACAATATAAGAATGTCTTTGTGTAATAGGTATGTGTAAGATACTCAAACATATTGTAATTAAAAATCATATCATTACATTTGTATATGTATATTAGAAAACTTGACTTAAGGCTACTTAACTATAGAAAATCATTTCAGAAATGATGGTGGGTTTGGCAGCTGTTCAACTTGATGTCACCATTTTCAGTTTAAACAAGGTTGCTAGTTCTCCTAATTAATTGTACTATTACGGCTTTTAGTAGCATAGGCAAACTGATACAATGCATTCAGTATTGTAAGGTGATTCAGACAGGCGGGTTTTAGTCCTTTGTAATCAGATCTTTGTCATACAACATTTACAGGTTAAAATATACTCCTTGTAAATAAGCTGCATGTGTAAAATTAAACAACTTCAAGCTGGGGAAAATGTTAATATATACATTCATGCAGAAGCTTGACTACGGTCAGGGAGTGCGTTTTGTATTTGTATTTTCCGACTGCTGTTCCCAGATGTACAAAACTTTACATCCTCCCATAGAACAATGATTTGCACTGCAGTGTATGCTCTTGCTGGCTGTGCTTTTTTTCCCATCCCTTAAAAAGCAGTGATACTCTTCTGCAATGATGTCTGTAGACCATTTCACAGAACTGGTGTATCTTCTTTCATGGTTTTTGAGTGCAGGTGCCCTCTTCACTGTCAATAAGAAAACTTTCCATTAATTTCATGTATGAAGTAGTGTTTTAGTGAAGTGATTAAATTTCTCATTAAAATATAAACTAATCAGAACCTCTTTGCTTATTGAGGAAATCATTCACAACTCTAAAGAATAAGGTTGATCTTCAATAAAGGCTTAGAGATTACAGTGTGGAAAAGTGAACATTATAGAAAAGATCCCAGTAGATATTAAGTGCAAAGCCTTATATCTGATTTTTTTATGTGTTTCCAGGCATCATCTTTTCTAACAAGAACTAATACAATGTGTGCAAAATATCAATTAGTCTAGCATCGTCCATATTGACCCCTACTCTTCCTTTCCCTCACACACTAGAGCTCAAGATGAGAATTTGCAAGACTGTGAATGGCCACTTACTCCAACTTTCTGCAATTCAACATACATAGGAGGCAGCCCCTTTGTTTTCTAACTGCTGTAGATATAAAGCCAGGAAGACACTGCACATTTCCATGCCTTCTCTCTTTCTTTTCTTTCCTTTTATCTTTAGATGTCATTTTTCTTTTCAATAATTTGATTATTTTCTCATTTAAAATGCAATAGAATGAAATAACAATTTTGAAAATAACAGTTTTCCATTTATGTGCCATTTGTCTCCAAATGTAGCTGTGGCAGTGTAATGATACAAGGTAAATTCATAGAGAAAAGTTGTTTTTTTTTAATTAGTCCCACATAATTGGAAAAATAAACATTTTAAGGATGTTCCAGTCCCTGATGTTCCATGCTCTTTCCTTGTATTTGAGTCTGACAGATCACTTTTTTCCTCATAGGTATTCACTTTAATTTAAACTTTCAGTACCCTCATAAAGCCCGACTGTGTCCATAGAAATTCAGAGGTGGTTACACAATACCATT